ATCAATTATCAACATTTAAAAAAATGCCAAAGGCAAATAAAGCACACTATTATGTAACCGAATATCCAGGCATCTTTAAAACAGACGGAGGTGTATTATTTTGTATTTGTTGTGGTATCAACGTGTCATGTAATAGAAAATCACAGGTTACTCAACATTTAGAAACTTCAAAACACATCGGAAACTATAAGTTGAAGTCTAATAAAGAACAGGTCAGTCAACAATTTATTCAAAAATCATTTACTCAAGCTATAACAAATAACCAATATTTAAATGAGTTTAACAATGATTTAACAACGTTTATGGTAGCAAATGATATCCCTTTATGGAAATTAAAAAACGCAGAATTTAACAACTTTTTTGAAAAGTATATTAAACTAAAATTACCCGATTATGAATCGACTGTACGAAAAAACTATGTTCCATTATGTTACGAAGACGTTTTACGTAAGATTAGGAAGGAAATAGGAAATAGTTCTATTTGGGTATCAATAGACGAAACTATTGATGTTCAAGGACGATATGTCGCAAGTGCAGTAATAATTGGTTCTCTGTCTTCTGAAAATTCAACAAAACCGATTGTTTTAACTGTTGAACATTTAGAAAAGACAAATTTTCAAACAGTTTCGAAATTATTCAATGATTCAATGAGTATATTATGGCCTGAAAAAGTATTGCATGACAAAGTGTTATTGTATGTCACAGACGCCGCTCCTTATATGGTAAAATCTGGACATGCGCTTAAAGTATTTTATCCTAAACTAATCCATATTACTTGCATGGCCCATGGGCTTCATAGATTATCAGAAGCTATTAGGGATAAATTCTCAAATGTTGATTTGTTGATATCTAACACAAAAAAAGTTTTTTTAAAAGCACCTAGTCGTGTAGGTACTTTTAAAGAAAAATGTCCAAACTTAAGTTTACCCCCACAACCTATTATTACCCGATGGGGAACGTGGCTTGATGCCGCGTTTTATTATGGTAAAAATTTTGACAAAGTCAAAGAAGTTATCAACACATTTAACCCAAATGATGCAAAGTCTATTCAAAATGCACAACAATTATTTAATGATAACTCGATCAAAAATGAACTTTCGATAATTCTATCAAATTTCCAATGTATAACAGACACTATTACGTGTCTAGAAAAATCTGGTGTCAATCTTGGAAAAAGTCTAGAATTGGTTCAAAATGTAGAAAATAAATTGAGTGAAGGAGGACGAGGTATTGAATTTGCTAAAGTTAAGCTATCGGAAGTATTATCAAAAAATCCCGGATTATCACAAATAAAAAAAATTTCTGAAATTATAAGTGGAGAAATAAGAAACGACGATGAAGACCTAGCAGAGTTGTCACCAGAAGATATTTCTTGTTTCAAATACGCACCAATTGTGTCAGCAGATGTGGAAAGAAGTTTTTCGAAATACAAGGTAATGCTACGCGACAATCGCAGAAGTTTTCAATTTGATAATTTAAAAGCACATTTTGTTACATCATGTTGGTACTCATTCAATAATTAATACAAATTGTTATTCTTTATACATATTTTAAAAAATAATATTTAAATTGTATTTTTTTTTCACTTAATACCATATTTTTAAATTTTTTTTTTAAATTTTGAATTTTTAAACAATAAATTTTTTTGCATATTATTTGCATATTTTTGAATTTTTGAGTGCATATATATGTGCATATTTAACAAAAATTTTTGCATAAAAATCCGGGCCCTAGTAATAACTATTTTTTTTGTTGCTTAGCAATTTTGTACACGGACTTACACGAAGTGTTTTTGTTGGGATATCATTAGTTCTTTTGTAACATTTATATACCAGCATGTAATATGATTTGCAGATTTTTCAGGTTTTTATTTATTATCATATTCAATTGTTGTTGCATTATTATGATATACACATCTTTACCCCACCGGGGCCTTCGTTCAAAATGTATTGAAGTGTCATTACATCGTAGCCATTTATTTTGATGTAAAATTATACATGTATAATGGGCTTCATTCATAGATGGGCCATGATA